AAAAAATTAATAATTAAGGTTGTACTATTATCAATATTTTTTTTAATTTTTTATGATTCATATTTATATATTATTGAAAAATAAAAAATTATCGTTTTTTTAAAACCATATAAAATCGTATTATAATGCCGACTAAGACAAAAAAATAAAATATTAAAATCAATATATATCTTTATGTATTGTGCAAACACCCTTCTAATAATTCTTAAATCCGATTATCTTTAATTCTAAAAAACTCAAATAGTTTATTTAATTTTTTTCAAAACGTTTAATTTAGTCATTAACTTATTTAAAATTACATAAAAATAATTGAAGTTTTAAAATACATCATATTGTGATAATCTTAACAAGTATGTGATATTTATCGTATTTTTTAAATAATTTTTATCATAAAAATAAATTAAAAAATCTCTTTTTAAAAAGTTATAATTCTATACAATGAATATAAACAATAAGCAACTTGGGATTATGGTTGGTTAGACACCTGCATTTCTTGTTTTGGTTTCCAGAAATTCATCCGATGTAATTCAAATCTATCGATCATAATTGAATATTTAATTATAACCAGGTCGTATTGGATCCAAAATTTCAACATCCAAATTAGATCAATCGGTTCTTGGATGACAGCCCAAAATCCAATAAACCGAACCGATACAATCATCCAATGACCATCCAATTAATAACTATATGTAATCATCAACATTTTACGATATTGTTTTTTAAATGATAAATACATAATGGTTTTAATAAATTTAAAAAAATATACAAATAATTGGTTGAAGCAGTTAAATAGTTATTTGAAAATTGCACCAAAATATTGAATTGATCCAATCCGATCCTACAGATAACTAATCGTAACATCCAAGGAATGGAACTCTGATCCAATCATCAATTAGATTGAATTGGATTGGATCGAATGACAAAATCCAACATCCATCATATGATTGGATTTCAACCGATGAACACCCCTATAAGGTAGCTTATAAGTTAGTTTATATTTGCCAAACAAGACCCAAGAGGCCATTTACTAAAACACATACCTGGAAAAGTCACCACTCTTACTAACCTTACTAAGATAGATTCATGGCCATCAAAATGGCATCGTATGCAACAACATTACCCGGCAAGCACATTTAGTAAACAGACTTCTAAATGTTTCAAGTTCAAATATCAAACTCAATAAAGTATCAAGATACATATGACAAAAGCTTCACTTAGAAGGGTCTTCTAAGAAATCACTCGATAGAAGAAACAAAAGTAAAAGCCAAGAAAATAGATGTAATAACAATAAACTGAAAATAATTTTGAATTTTGTTTGATTCCCATGGTTCTCATTGAGCCTAACCACATTCTAAATGTGAGCAATAAACAGAATTTGTATACATACCTGCTGCTGCTGCATATGACCTGGCCAAAGCAAGGTAACAATTATACTTGCACAAAGTACAAGTGTACACAACCTCATGAAGCTCTACCCGTTTCAATCATGTTCAAGCAGTTTCTCCAGCATCAACCTATAAATACAACTAACATCATCCCTCCATATCCACAGTTCAAAACACTCAAATAAAGCAATTAGCCATCTTTTTCCCTCTAAAATCATGGGTGTTTTGACCTATACCGATGAGCACACTTCCTCGGTCTCTCCGGCAAGAACTTTTAAGGCCTCAATCGTCGATTCACACAATTTGATGCCAAAACTCTTGCCAGATGCTACTAAAAGCATCAATATTGTCAAAGGTGATGGTGGGGCTGGAAGCATCAAGGAGAACTCACACAATTTGATGCCCAAACTCTTGCCAGAAGCTATTAAGAGCATCAGTTTTATTAAAGGTGATGGTGGGGCTGGAAGCATTAAGGAGATTAAATTTGCTGGACGTAAAGTTATATTTAACCCAATATGTACTTATAGGGGAAACTATGTGTAGGGCAGGATATGATAACAAGTGAAGATACCTTTATATTATGCCAAATTTGCAACATTTATATCGCCTTCAATTGTGTTGTGTTACGTTATATTGTGTGAAGGTAGTAACTCTCACACAATTTAAGATTCAGGGTGCGTTTGGTACGCAGACAGGACAGGACGGGACAGGACAGAGCAGGACAGGACAACTGTTCAGCGTTTGGTAAGACATGATAGGACTGGGCAGAACTGGTTAAAATGACCAATTTACCCCCAATGAATCAATCCTAGAATTCTAACCACCATGATCAAATTAATCTACCATACTCCTAAACCCACTTGAGAAGACGACATCGGATTCTAAACCCTAAAAACTTCAACTTCAATCAATTTTACAATCACTGACAATTTCGATTAAAACCCTAAAATGAAAGTTGTTTTCCAATCAATCCTARCAGTATTTCAAACTATGCTACAGAATTTTGCTCCCTATACTCCAAGATCAGAGATTTGGAGATGAGAAAATACAAGAAAAATATTGAAAAATCTGATGAACAATCTTACAAATCTGTCGATTACTGTCCAGCAATCGATACCGCCGATTGAAGGGGAAGAAGGGTGACGCTTGCAATCGATACCGCCGATTGAAGGGGAACGATTCGTGAAGTATACGGTGGAAGCGAAGAAGGGTTTTGAGAGGGTAGATAGGTAAAATATTTCTTATTCTACTTAGTTCCGGGGGGTAAGGGTGGACAGGCGTGTCCCACCCGTGTTCTAGCTAGTTCTAGTGAGTCCAACATAAGGCCACACCAAACATAGGACAATTGTGTTTTGTCCTGTTCTGTTCCACTCTGTCCAACGTACCAAACACACCCTCACTGTTCTCAAGTCAACTATTCACACATACCTTCACTTGTTCTCATGAGATGGGATTGTTCTCACCAAGGAACCCCCCCCCCTTCTCTCTCTCTCTCTTTCTCTCTCTCTCTCTCTCTATATATATATATATATATGTTAGTGAATTCATTTGTTAACCCAATATATAGTGTTAAATTTGTGAACCAATCTTATCCATTGAGTTTTGAAATTTATGACTAAGATCATTCATGACATAAAATGTAAATAATTACACACATAGACAAGGTAACATTAGTAAACAATGTTTACAAGGGGTATTTTAGAAAAAGATTTTAGTTGTCCATTAATGATAATGAGATGTTTTATAACTGTCCATTAATGACAATGAGATGTTTTGTAACTGCCCATTAATAACAATGTAACTATCCGGGAATTACTCTCGTCATCATTGAAAATTTGCTCGAATCGGAACCTTTCAATTTCTATATCGAAGATATACTTACGAAGTTGTTCCAATTTTAAAGAATCAGCGGATGAGTTGTGGTTAGGGGTGAAATGCCACTCGAACCCAAAGCTAGTTGGTTCTCCCCGAAATGCGTTGAGGCGCAACAGTTGACTCGAATCGAAACCAACAGCAAGATCTCCAACATCAGATTCTTCTACAACTTTTTTTGGTTAATGGTTCATGTATGAACGAATATTCGATATTTATTGGAATTGTTCATGTGTGAACAGGGCGTATAGTGGGAAAAAGTCATAAAGATTTTTATAACATCCATGTTTTATTTTAGTAAACACATACACCATGTAGTCTCGTTTATATATGAAATAAATGTGGAAACATAGTTCATCTATGAACAAACATCAAATTGTACCTATGAACAATGTTCATGCATTTACTTCTGAACAGTGAACACCGTTCAAATTTTTTTAAATAATTGGTAATTTGTACAAACCTAGTTTTTGTTACGTGTATGTGTTTATCAGGTTCGCATATGAACACAATACTTTTTTAAATGTTGAAACGAGATGGTTCACCTATGAACAAGTGTTTACTCATGTATAATTAAGAAATGTAACGACAATTAATTCATTTAGAATAATTAAGAAATGTAACCGACAATTAATTTGCATGGATATTCACCATGGCAAGACATGGAATAACAAAGAAATGTAACCAAATATTGATTTGCATTAAAAGAAAGATCTAATAAAAAATTACACTTTTACTCTCATTAAATAAATTTATCATGTGCATCAACCAAAAGTATATCTTGTTTTCTATTGGTTCATTGAGATTTGTAAAGTTAACACCATAGATTGAGTTAACAAATGAACTCACCCTATATATATACACACAAATATATATCTGCTTGTTTACCCCTTGATTTGGTGTTTTATGAAAACAGCCTCTTTACTGCTCAGAATAGAGGAAAGGTTGCATATATCTTACCATCCCTTGATTTGGTGTTTCATGAAAACAGCCTCTTTACTGCTCAGAATAGAGGAAAGGTTGCATATATCTTACCATCCCTGACTTTGCATGGGATTCACTAGGTTCATTTGATTTTGTTTGGTTATACATATATTTTCTTGTTTGTAACAATTCTTGTCTGCAGATTTCGTGAAGCACCACATCAATGAACTCAATGAGAAGACATTGACGTACAAGTACACTTTGATTGAAGGTGAAGGCATATCAGACAAGATTGAGAAGGTCTCTTATGATATTAAGTTTGAGGGTTCACCTGATGGTGGCACCATCTCCAAGATGACCACAACCATCTACACCCATGGTGACTTTGAGCTCAAGGAAAAACTAAAGGCAGGCAAAGAAGAGGTTTTGGGGCTTTACAAGGTTGTGGAAGTCTACCTCCTCAAGAACCCTGATGCATATATTTGAAGATGTTCATTTCAATGTTGTGCTGTAGCCATGTTTGGCATTTTTAAGATTCCCAGTGTTTACTTTGATAAAATATCACATCATCAATAAAGTTTTGACTCAAAAGATTGTTTCTTGATATAATGAAGAGTATATAATGTGCAAGTAATGAATTCAAGATTTGGGAGCTCAATGACTTACTATGAGTTTGTTGTGTAAACCAAGATCGATTTGGTGTTGGTGTAACTGGACGCTAATAACTTCCCGACATTGGTTGGCTGAGAGAATGCTAGCTGACGATGTTCGAGGCTCAAACCCGGGCAGAAACTTTTCCTACAGTCATGTAGAAAGTTTAAAACTTTGAAGCATACAAAAGTTGCAAGAAATTATGTTTATTATTTTCCTACCTTGTGGCCTCAAGCAAGTGAGTGGCGATATGCTTTCTTCTGTTGGAGGGTGTGACCCATATTGCACGGATGCCACAGACAGCGGGCACTGCATCTTTTTCACAAATGATGGCTCCAAGGAGGTCGTCGTTTGCTTTTCTTTCATTTTTGGCTAAAGGGTTCTTTGTTACGATTTCTCTCTGAAAACTAACACCGCCAAATTTGAGGGTGGTTGAAGTCAACCTTCTATCCTCCTCCGGAGCAGTGGTAACATCAGATTTCTCGTCTGAGTTTGAAACTAATTGATAAGCCTTGTTTATTGACTCTGCAACAAGACAACCAGCAACCCTCTGGGAGCAAATAAAAAGATAGACCTACAAGCATGAAAAAAGGGAAAGGTCAAGTTTTTTTTTCTTTTGGTAAAGGGATCCTTCATAGGGTGTTTGGTTGTTCTTTGTTAATTTACATTTTCAGCTACTGTACTCGGTCTTTTGTTACAAAAAAACCACAATTCTTTTAATATAAAAAGAAAACATTGTGCCTTGCAAAAAGAAGAGATGATTTACAAATTATAGAAAAGATAAATGCAAAAAGAAACATCATCCTTGGCATTCTTTTTGTCCAAAATACTCACTCTTGGAAAGTGTTGTTTTTATATGTCTTCATAAGAACAAAGTCTTTTCTACGATCAAAAACCAGGTATGATGGCTCAAAACAGTAATCTCTCTAAGAAACAGCAACAAAACGACCCAAAATATGGCAAGTAGTATATGATTTGAAGCTTACTCATATGCCCACATGAAAATTGTAAGATTGGTTGCAAAATGGAAGATCTATGTGGAACAGAAAGTCGGCCTACCAAATCAAAAACACATCAAAGGGAACTGTTGAAATAGCCACCTTACACTGTTCATGGAAAATCCATCCGTCACCAAGTTCCGTCTCCATCATCCCAATTACCTCCTTAACCTGCCATTACAAATTCACTTCCGAAAGCTCAGGACAAAGGCCACACTAACTTATTGCAAATATCAAGCAAACATTTCAACTTCAATAGAAGTTTAATGTACCTTTTTACTATGAGCTGGAGGATCATCTTTCAGTACCAAAATAACACGCCCACATTCTAATGAGAGCATATCAATAACTCTTTCATTACGCCAACCCTTGAGTATGAAATCCATGAATAATGAATGAGTACAGACAACATCCAAGAAACTAAACATTCAAAAGGGAAATGGGTAATTCGTTTATTTATATAAGTTTTCCCCATTCTATGTTCTGCGTTTTGTGGATCCAAATCAAGTAAAAAGAAAAGTTTACCACCTTTTCAGTATTAATGCAACACATCAAAATAAGAATGTACCTTGAATCCAATACCATGAGTGTAATTCTTGTGAAATTCTTTGTGAGCCTTCTCATCTCCTTCGTCTCCAGGAGCAAACTTGAATCCACAAGTTTTACAAGTGCGTAACAGAAAATCAGATTGACCCAAATCCAAGTGAAATTGTGCATACTTTCTTTTCTTGTTTAAAACCTTTTCTGATTTCACTACCACCAGCGGTCGTCGAGAATCAAGCTTCTTTGGATCTTTTCCTGTCCATTCACCATCATCCCTCCTGCATACCAAAAACCAAAGCAGATTCCTCCAGTTCGTCTACTTTTCGTGCAGTAAATCAAAACAAATTATTACCCTTATTTCCAGAAACAAAGGTTCAGTTTCACCTTTCAGTGAAGTATATTAATTATTAATGATTAATTTGAAAGCACTACATAAATTTCCTAATATTTAGATAGTGAAACCAAGCACATCCCAAAATGTCATTTAACATAAATTCATTTAGCTTTGCCTCTCTAGCAGGTTTCTATCTGAATATTGTTTACATAGTTCAAAGCCATGACCAATCTCTCCGGCCCAAGGAAAAATGTTTTGTTTAGTCAATTTTGAAGTTAAGAAAATCACTTGACCTTCAGAAGTCTAAATTTTCTTATTAACCAACAATGCAGGAACTTCTCATAAACTTTATTAGCAAAACCATCATCAATTACACTAATTAGTGTTAAGAAAATTGAAATAACTTTCATATTCCTAAAAAACTAAGATTTTAAATCAATCACAACTGCTATAAACAGAGATATTTTGGCATTCAGGTCGCAAGGCAACATGATGAGCATTCAGGTCGCAAGGCAACATGATGAGTTTTAAGACTGAAATGTACACAAATCATCAAGTTGTGCCTTTTTAACCACAATGGGTCCAAACATTAAATTGATGACGCATGAAAATTCAACAAGAAAAATACCTGTCTGAGTTTGGAGCTCGCCGTGTGTATATAATGGGAATTTCGGGTTCTTTGGTGAAGTCTACTTCGTTTGATAGATCCTCCAAAGGGGAAAGAGGTAGATCTAGGGTTTCTCTTTGTACTGTAGAAGGTGAACTGGATTTGAAAAATGAATTGATCTTCAATTGCATTGTCTCTTGTTATTTGGAGGAATGGCTCAACCTCTCAAATCAGGGATATAAATCATAGGACACATGCAGATTTATTGTTGAAAAACTCCTAGAAGCAGGCAAGGTTAAGAGTGTCAAAGTTGGGTAGAATCCACGAACTTAAACAAGCAACATCAACTTAAATGATGCATGAAAGTTTAGAAGGGTTTTCTGTAATGACATAGAAAATGAACTACTTCACAACTATGGTAAACTAATTTGTCATACATCAGTAGAACAATAACATCAGATGGTAATATGGATGTGTTCCTGGTTGTTCTTAAGAACATGGAAGAGTTAATTTTTGCAGAAAAGTCCGAATTGCAGTGATGTGGTCACCCTTGAGGAAGAGTGGCCATATTTCTAAGAAAAGTGACCACTTCCACTCTCTTGACCACTCTGCAAACCGTCATATCACACTGTAATCTATGTCGGCACCCTCTACATCTTGAATCTATTAGTGTATTAAATCATCTCAAAGATTTTCTTCTCCCGCTATTAAAATTCGCAAAACCTTAAGTTCTTAACTTCTTATTATTCTAAGTTCTTGATAGACCAATCCGTGTAGACTCAATAATTGATTCTTACCATTGCATTACTTGTAAGTCGAGAGCTGAGATAATTGTATACTTGCACCAGTCTCTGTCTAGTATGAATACTAAATAATGAAGTATCTAAACTTGTGACAAGTTCATCATGTAATTTAGCCATATATTGTGTGCTATGGCAGGCCAGTCCTGGGGGGTTTCTGATGCCTAGGGCATAAAGGCTAATATACGCCCCCAAGAAAATACATGATGCTTAAGTCAGCATTTGAAATAAAAAAAGACTACCAAGTATCACAGAACGTTCAACAAGAAAAAACAATGGCTATGCACACATTATACATCTTCATACACCCAACCAAGTAATTACTCTTCACAAATTTTAACCAACAAATTTCACTTCAATTTTCTCTTACAAAACAGAAGGCATCGAGTTGAAGGATATGAATCAGGACAACCAATTTAATATGGATGAACCACTAAAATAACATTATGACAAACACTGTAAAATTAACATTCAAAAAAGATGTTATATTATATAATGGAATATAGCCTCTAATATCCTCAAGATTTTTCAAAGTTGAGTAGCATCCATAAGAACTTTATCATGTTTATTCCCAAAATTTAGTTCAACCAATCGTAAATATTATCTAGCATGCTCAGGACCCTTCAAAGTCAAGTGCCATCCATGAGAACATTATCATTTTTATTACCAAATAAGGTACAACCAATGATGAAAAATCATGGTGATCTTCCATACCATAAAAACATGATTCTTTGAACAAATTGTTCAATGACTAGTCCACATCAGCAAACACCTTAGGGCAAAGGATCCACTTGATTCATTGAGCCACTAGACGCAATCACATGAAATATAGCTTAGTATCATACCAAGGAGGGAGAAAAATTCTCTTGTAGCTCTTGTCTTGCAAAAGGGGGTAGAAATAGAGAATAACCAACTCAAGAGATTCAGTACTCAAACCAAAACACAATTACACATAATTCTAGGAGAAAATAATTTTGATCAAACATAAACACATAAAAAGCAGATGCTTCTGAAACCAAACCAAAATCAACTTCATCAAACAAACCTAATCTAAGCATGACTTCATCATAAATTAGTTTTTCTAACATGAAGGTTCTATGAAAAATCAAAAAAATTAGGATTAAGAAATCAATAATCTACCAATTTATGATGCTTAATTGCTTTGCTTATTTAGATTCCAAACTTCCAGTCTCCAGAGTCCAGAATCAGCTCTTTTACGATGCTTAATGGCTTAATGCTTTGCTCCTTTACAGGTCCGAGACCAGAAGAGGCAGAAGTGAGGAAGATGCGAGAGCTGAGTTACGGCAGAGAACCAAGGACCAAAACAGATGAAACGCAAGAGTAGAGATTGAGAGGCGAGACCAAGAATCCAGATTGAAGCAATGATTTTTCAAACGGATTTTTTTAACCAATTATGAGAAACCAAGGGTCCGCAAATACAGAAATAGTGTCGACCCATATGTTGGTATGGATGGACTGGCAGGCAGAATCAGTTAACTCCTAGTAGGGGCATCTGGAATTATGAATATTTTTTAACAATATCATGTTAAAATATTTTGTTCTTTGTTTTCTGAAACAAATTATTCTAGGTTAGGTTTAGAAATGTGAATGGGTTGCATTTGCAGTATGGGTTGAAATGTTTTTAGTTAGATGGATCGATGAGCATGGGTGCTAGAATCTATCAAATAGGTTGTCTATCAAATAGGTCAACACAACGGGAACCAGGGAAAGAATAGATGAAGATGGCTGGCAACAAAAAAAAAGCCAATGAAGTTCAAACAGAAGCCCTAAATAAATCAAGAACAACGAACAAATTAGTGGAAATCCGAGGAATCGAAGCTTCAAAATGCATGTCCAAACATCAAGAACAACAAACATATTAAATTCATCAAGATGAATTCAAAATAATCATCAAACAAAAGTGTAAATCATAATAAACCCAACACATAAACAGCAACGAAGGATGAACAGAAACCTGATCTGGAAATGAGGGAGGAGCAGCGTCAGAGAAATGTGCGACGGAGGCAGAAGAAGGCAAGAAACCAAGAGGAAGAGAAAGTGGGGATTTTTTTTCTCTTTAAAAAAGTGGGACTTTTTAAGCGCGGGAAATGCATCAAAATATATTTAGGCGCTAAGGAACTTTTTACCATAGGATAGGAGCGTATCCGCATCAAAATATATCTAGGTTTGTTTCTTCTGGAACTAAACATTTTATGTAGGTTCCATCTAAAGCTCCTAGATAATTCTAGAACCAAGAAAAAGAAGATCATTATATTTTCATAATAATTAGACTTGTTTAGAAATAAGTAAATTTTAAAAAAGAAGTGGAAATACCTTAAACCATTTCCATCTTTGATCGGTAGAGTTATCGGGAACAGGTTCAGGTTTCTTAAGCAATCGTGGATGTAACCTTATTACGGCATTGCAAACTCGAGTAACAACTCTACTAATTGTTTCTCCCGAACGATGAAAACGACATATCATAACCCGATTCTTAACATTGTGGGCAATAATATGAAGAAACATGGCAACTTGTTCTTCAATATTCATAAACCTAGTTGTTCTTAACCCTCCATATGTTTCAACCATGGCACACAACTTTTTGAAACACGTTCGAGTCATCCTAATTTGCGATATAGACATAATGTCACTCTCATAAATATACCTATGCATTATGGAGGATCGGTCCACATTTGAAGAAGAGTATCCAATTTGTTATTTATCCCTTTGTCTTTTAACCATAATCATCCAAAGGGACACAATAGAGAATAGAACAACATGGACAACTATCTTAAACCATTCCAATGACTCTTGTCTCCTTTGCCTATGTAAACGTCTTCTTAAACAAAGTCGATCCATTTCCTGTCCAATTTCCCAAATTGTTAAACATATACTTTCATTATTCTTTGTTGGGTATTGCATTTGATAAAATAAAGAGGAATAAAGTGATGAAGAAAGAAAACAAAGTGAAACAGTGAAGAGGTATGAAATAGTGAAGCACTAAATCTAGGTATGAAATAGTGAAGCAGTCAAGTGAAACAGTGAAGAGGTAGAAATGCAAAAAAAGTGTTGCTTTCATACATTAATTAATTGATGCTAAATCAAGAAAAAAGCATAACAGATATCTTTGTTTCATACACAAGGGTGCTGTCAATTGCTTCTGTATGAAAACTAGAAGGGTACTGTCAATTGCTTATGTATGAAAAGTCGAAAACCATGTCAAGATGGTTAGGTTGGTGAGGGGTTAGGTAAGGAAATGAAGTTGTCCATAGCCAATAAAATCTTGTAAGGAAGGGTCTCCAACAAGTTAACTCCAGTCTCTGGTCTGTTCATGCATACTATGATATTAGTCATTTTCATAGGTTTCCTCCATATAACTTACTCAAAGATTCATTTGAAGGTATGACAGCATTATAGCTTAAATACTTCCATGGAGAAGAATGCAAGCTAAAGTAAAGCATATAAGTTGTAGAAGAAACCAGGAACAAAAAAGGAGGGAAAGATGCATATAAGTGAGTGGAAACATAGGGTCCTATGTTGCAATCAAGCACATAAAGGATGAGAGCCAAGGACTTGGTAAACTACGACGAGGTTAGAGAACATAAAAGGTTAATGTTTTCTAAGTAGAATTATAATGTTGAAGGTATAGAAAGCACGAATGAAACATGAAGTAGGTAAAGCTTTGAATTAGATGAATTATTTCATATAAGGTTTGATGTTATAAAATAACAAATAATGTGAATTATTTCATATAAGATAGTTGAAACTAGTTAGTAATGTGAATTATTTCATATAAGATTTGATGTTATAAAATAACAAGTAAGAAATAAAAAACTGATAACTATCAAATATCAATATAGATAAAGAAGAAATGTAGATGATCGAGAAATAGACTTAAATAATATGCCAAAAGCAGTACTAAAGCATCCATGATATCCACGACCAGTTAAAATGTATGTTAGGCAGTTAAACACCCCTAAAAATGAGTGGTATGTCGTCTAAACAGCCCTAAGTAGCAGCCATAAACAAAGCCAAAAACAAAAGGCAGACCATAATCGAGCATGACTAATGCTATACAAGCCTAAACAATGGTAGCAGGTGTATGTGATGCCTTGTGTATCTTAGATAAAACACATTTGAATATGTAATGAGCTTAACAGATGAAAAATTAAGAAGGATTACTCTGTTCTGAATTTATTCAATGAAACTACCTAATAGATGATACTTGCACTTAATGATGTTAAGAGATTTATGAGAAGAACAGGCCATATGTTGTTTATTGAACTAAAGAAGGCACATAATAGAATACCAAGGAAAATGGTCAAGTGGGATGACACTTGATTAGTAACATAAAATAGTTTGTCTAGCAAATTTGCAGCCATATCAAGTAGGATGACACATCCATTCAGATATAAAAAGATGGTCCAGATTTAGGCATGGTCCAGATTTAAGCATCTACTGCAACCTATTCAGATTTAAGCATCTATTTGAAGAACTAAATCATGAAAAGGGAACAGGAGGAAGTAAAAGAATCAATAAAATACTACAAAAAAGGAAAAGGGATTTACCTGCTGAGTGTTGGGAGAAGGCGGCGAACAGGAAGGGGGGGTTAGGGCGCAGCTTCGCGAGGGGACGGGAAGGGAGCACCGGCGAGGAGGACCGATTAGGGCACAGCTTCGCAAGGGGACGGGAAGGGAGCACCGGCGAGGAGGACTGATTAGGGCGGGAGGAAGCGATGGGAGGGAATCTGGGTGAAGGAAGCGGGAGGAAGCTGGGTGAAGCACTCGACAGGAAGCGATGGGAAGGAAAAGCCCGGATTTGGATTTCAAATCCCGCCGGATCTCCAAATCCCTAAGGGTGCGTTTGGTTTGCAGGAATGTTTCTGAGGGATTTGGATTCCCWRGAGRGATTTGGATTCCATGGGATTTGGATTGGATTGGATTTAAAATCCATTCCTGTGTTTGGTTTGCAGGATTTGGATTGAGATTTTTTTTTCTTTTGTAATTATTTTAGTCATCAAATCTCTTTCATTTCTCAAAACTACCTATTTAACCATCAAAGCTATTAATCCAACAGATCTGACTGAAAGTTATTAACAACAAATTCATCAAGAATAATTCCAAKGAACTGGCCATTTACAAAGCTTAAAATCAAGTCGAGCAAGCAAATGAGTTGTTATAAAGCCTGCCTTCTGTCAATATGGGATCATTTCATCATAACCAGGATTGAAGATTAGGTATGAAATAATGAAGCCGTCAAGTGAAACAGTGAAGATTATGTATGAAACAATGCAGCAATCGAGCGAAACAGTGAAGCAATCAAGCTAAAATTGAATAAATCAAACACGTCTTTCAATCAATTTCAAGAACTAAATCAAGAAAAAGCATCAATTTCCAGAACCACAAAAGCATTAGAAGCACGACGATGGAGGAGAGGATTGAAGAAAAGAGACGCACCTTGGGAGAAAGCGACGAAGACGACCACCGTGACAGAAAGCGACGAAGACGACCACCGTGACAGAAAGCRRCGGAGACGGGATGACCACCGTGGGAGCAAGCGATAGAGACGGCGATGGAGGAGGCAACGRAGACGGTGAATGATGAAAATGAAGGAGGCGATGGAGACGGTGAAGGATGAAAATGGAAGAGGCGAWGGAGACGGTAAGTTAGGGCAAGAAGATCGGTGAGAAGGACGAGGGAGGAGGGGGCAGTGGGGAGTTGGAGGAGACCGGCGAGAGCAGTGGGGAAAGCGACGAGAGGTGGGGAGATGGCGGAGACGGGCGACAGATGGGGAAAGTGCGAGAAGAAGTAGCGTGGAAGAGCAGCCCGGATTTGGATTTCAAAATCCAGCACATTTATTATGGATTTCAAAATCCCTTGTTTACGGGATTTAAAAAAGTACACGGGATTTAAAATCCAGCCCATTTAGCAAACCAAACAAGGAATGGAATGAATTTCAAATCCAAATCCCTCAAACCAAACGCGCTAATGGATTTTTAATGAAATCCCCGGATTTCAAATGCTGACAATTTAGCAAATTGATTGGAATTAATTTTAAATTTAAATCCCCCGATTTCATTTCATTCCTGTAAATTAAACGCATCCTAGTATTAAAGTCTGAAGTTTTGTTTTATTTTTGATTGATAGGAGGTGCGTTGAATTCTAAAATCTAAATCAATAAAACTGTTTGTTTTTATAAATTGATAAATGTCTGAATTTGTTTATATTGTTTATTTTACCCATTAAAAAATTATAGTGTTGAATTAATAGATAAATTTATAAAGTCTCATATATTTATTAATTATCATCACAAAATTTACATCTAAAATATATAATTAACGTTCATTTAAACAAAAATATGTCATTAACGATTTTTAACACATTTAAACCCTATTAAAATACATCAATCAATTTAGAGATGATGATCGATTTGGTAATGATCGATTGAGATAAATGATGGATTAAGATTAATCGATTGAGAAACGTCGTTGCTCAGTGTTTGGAGGATAATGAGGTGGTGTTTTTTTTAAGATGTGTTGAATTATGAAGTCTGGTTTCACTTCTGATTTATAAGAGGTGGTGTTGAAATCTGAAATCTAAATCAATCAGACTGTTTGTTTTTACGTTTGAAATCTAAAATCTGAAATCTGAACCAGTCAGACTGTTTGTTTTTATAAACAGACAAACGTCTGAAATCTGAATCAATAAGACTGTTTGTTTTTGTAAATTGACAAACGTCTAGAGTATGAAATTTGAATCAATTCATTTTAATTAAATTCAATTGAAATATTCAATCATTTAAACAATTTGTAAACTACCATTCAGCTGCCAAATCTACAATGGACATTTGTTTTTATGGGTTGTAGGGAAATTTTGAAGGAAAGTGGATGGAGGGGGGAAGTGGAATGCAACTACAAAGCATGTAAATCAAGCAAATCAAGTTGTACTTCTTAAAAATCAAGCAAATTGAAACTGACGTTTTTAATGGAGCATTACAAAGATTAACTTCAATATTTCAGTGGTCTGCAAACTCTTGATCTGAACCATGTGAATCATGAGCATATGTGGCATCTATAATTCCTGACTTTAGTAGTTGTATAACTTGATCCAGTCTAGTTTGTTCAAATATTGTACCATGACAGATGAAGTGATATTATCAAGCTGCATCTAGATATGTTAGTCCATGTAAATCATCGCAAGAAATTCAAATACGTATTGAGTATCAAAATCACATACCAAGACGACGAAAATTCAAACAACGATTGGATTGCATTAGAAAGCATACCAGAAAAGAAGTTGATGAACTTTTTCTGAAATAATATTACATAAATAAACCAACAATATTAATGTTATAATCATCTAGATTCAATTTGTTGAAAAGAGCAAGTCAATAAGATCAAATACATATTATTATTATTGTTGCAACAAGTATGTCCAATAACCTATATTATTATTGTTGTAGTAAGTAAAGAGTACTTGATGTCTAACACAAAATATTTAATTGAACTGGGGGCAACGAAAAACATACATAGACATAGTCACAATAGGATTACGGAGGCAGAGAAGCCCAAGCTTGATATCCCAAAAAGAGGTTTCCAGTAAACCTCTTCCCTCTCTGTATGTCCTTTCTTTCTTTCTGTTCATATTTCACATATAATGTGAATCAACTTATTTTGGTGTGGTACAAGTAATAATGAGTTTTTAGTGTTTGAATGGAGAAAAAAAGAAAATGTTTATACCAGTTTGGCACCGGTAATAAGAAGTTTTTAATGAGTTACTTCCTTCTAACTTATTAACTTATTCCGGTGTGGTACCGACAATAAAGAGCTTTAGTGTTTGAATGAGAAAAGAAAATGGTATCTTTATCCATTTTGTCAGTTTATCTGGTGTGGTACCGTCATAAGCTAATCCAAACACTTTTACAAAAAAAACATAAGTTGTTTTAAATAAGCAATCCCAAACACCCCTTGCTCTTATTAATAATTATAACAATATACAAAACGAATCTCATAATTTAAAATTATAATCGATACAAAATTTACCTGTATATATGTCACCATTTGGAATAGCAGAGTGTGAACACCCATACCCTAATATATAGAATGATTAGCACACAAACAAAATTTGAAGTGGAAGTCAGAGAACAAAGAAAAAATTTAGATGAAAAGGGTATCTCGCTACAAGAAATCCATGACTATTCTTTTTCCTCTTTGCAATACAGTTGTAGTTATCAAGACCTTTTTAGTATTTCTTTGTCCATCGATGCATTGCACGAGAATCAGGGGGCGTGGGCTGGGGTCTTCATGCAGGTTTCATATATAAACTTGGAAGAAAATAGCCACCGCCGGTTAAATCATGAAAAATAAGGAAAAATACTGGTACGAGTCCGATAAAAAGAAAAATTAATGTTCCCAACTTGTTCCGAATATATTGTCTCTAGGTTATCCCATTATCCAAGCTTCAAATTTTATTCCTCTTCATTATTACCTATATCTATTAGTTTTACAGTGATTGTAGATCCTAACAATATGACATCGGTAACAAATATGTCAAAATTTTATAGTAAATTGAGAGAACCATAATATATCGCATCAAACTTACTCTGAAAATGACAACACGTTTAACCTACAAGAAATTAAATAGTTAAAAACACATGAATTAGTTTGTGAGTGTGAAGGAAGATGTAAAACTTTAAAGATGTCCAAGAGCATGTTCTAATCATTCTCTGTCAAGGAAGATGTAAAACTTTACCAAAAGGCGATCAAATAAATGGAATTAGGTTATTCCTTCATCGATTTAAGGTTCCATGGCGCCACTGATTACTCCATTCCAATGGATATCCGAGAGAGGATTGACTTGGTTTGATTGTTGAAGATTAGCGAAAACAGTCTTAAATAGGTTTCATGAAACTCCTGGACGAATTTTGATTTTCATGCCGCGTTAGAAATCATTTAGAGCCAATTTAATTCCAAATATATTTCATTGGCAAATCTTCAAATATGTAGAAATCTATAAAAACTAATTTAAAATATGAGAGATAGTACAAAAATCCTCAAATATGTAGAAATCTTAAAAAACGATTACTATGAGAGAGAAACATTTTTTTATTATATTCCACCAATAAAAAAAATAAATATTTACTAGAAGTGTACTCGTGCAATGCAGTGAGATACATCGTTATTTTAATATTTCATTTATTATTTATCTCAGTCGATGTTATAATATGGTTTTATGTGATTTTGAGAAAGCGATGATGTTTTTATTTGTGAATAAAATATATGTTTGAAGATATCATAAAAATTTGACAAAAATATATATCGATATTAGTATCAAATTAATTATTTGAAATTTCTCATTTTTTGTGTAATTTTTTAATTCAATTTTT